CGTGGGGGCCGGTCGGGCCTCTGCGTCATCTCAACCGCTGCACGGCGCGGGGACAGATGGACAGACGCCGCCCAAGGGGCGGCCAGCAAGCGGCTGCCCAGCTCCTCCGGTGTTTGCAGTAAGGCCCCTGTCCGGGGAGACCAGGCCGTCGGCAGTCACCGCTGCGGGAGCGTCAGAAGCTCCAACGACCGGCCCAGTCGGGCTGTGCAGTCGGTAACGGCCACGGGGCGCCTGGGCGGGGCCCGCGCAGCCCCTCCCCAGGCCGCAGAGCCCTGTCCTCAGCCCACCTGGCGTCCAGGGAACAGGGGACGCAGAGGAAGGCGAGGAAACCGCGACAAGGACAGTGCGCGGGGTAGGACTTCTTCAGAGTGACCGGACCCACCCGCGAGGCCTCCGGAGCCAGGATGGACATGGCACCCTGCTCACGTTCCTGTCCCCGACGCCTGGGGTGTTCAAGGTGCCGCGCGTGACTGGGAGAAGCAGGGCCGAGGCTCCTGGGTGGCGGCCACCGTGCCTCCCGGGGCCTCCGGCTGGACGCCGGACCCTCCCCCGCAGGCAGACGAGTGAGCTCCGGGAAGTGGGTCAGGCCGGGAAAAACACCAGCCCACGGGGCCGACTCCACACGTTTCGGCGGCCGAGCAGGGGCGAGGGGCGTCCCGGCGGCCGGCCTGAGTCCAACCCCCGCCCCTGCCCGGCTGCGGGCTGCCGGCTGGCCCCAGCCCTCGCGAGGCCGTCTTGCTCTCTGCGGCCCCCAGCACCCCCCGGGAGAGGAGTCGAGGTCCTGACCCTTGAACGGCCCGGCCCCCAGCCACGGTCACTCGAGGTCATCCACTGGCCACCCTGGGTCACTTCCCACCGGGACGGGGTGGGCACCCGCCTTCCGTTTTCCGTGGAGGTTAAAATGTGGCCCAGCCTCCCTGGTGGCCAGCCGGTTGGACCAGCACGGCAAGCTGGCCGCGGCCGCTTCTGTGCGGGTCCATCCGGGCCCCGGAGGTGACCCCAGGGTGCAGCAGACCCCTCTGTCCCCGTGGGCTTCGTCCGTCGGCCTGTCCTGCTCCCCGCTCTGTCTCCGGGGAGCCTTCACCGCCCCTGCACCCCAGTTCTCTGTGCACAAGTACAGCAATCTTTAAAGAGAAAACTGTCCCGTCTCAAAGCCTCAGACAGCGTCCAGGGAGCGACGCGCACGCGTGCGCCGGAGCCAGCGGTGTCAGAAGTGCTGACCGCCCAGACTTTAGGGGCTGCTTGGGGCGGGGCTCCCGGCCCCTCCTACCTTTCTTCCTCCACCAGGGCCCCTCGGGCACCGAGTAGGACAGGTCCTTGAACTCGATGTTCACCGCCGCCCGGCGAGGCAGGGAGGAGAAGCGCTGGGCCTCGGTGAGGCTGTTGTCCACCTTCCTCAGGTGTCCGTTGAGCAGGTCGGTCTCGGTGGGCTCCATGTTGCCGGACACCACGTCGTCCAC